CAAACGAAGACGAAACATATATTTAGTTCTCTGTACTCGTTTCCAATAAAATTAAACCGTGAGAAATACTCATCAGGACATTGGAGGGAAAATCAAATAAGATGTTCAGCAAATATATATCTTTTCGACGGTTCCATTGTCAAAAGCACAGCAGTACAATCGTATTTGCATACACAAAAGTTTACACAGATAAAAATATTCTTATTTAATTCCATATAATAACGAAGGGGGAAATTAAAAGTGATGATAATTTTCAACTTGAAGGTATGAATACAAAGTCCAGGGGACTTAGAATCCAAATTACACAGGATTAGAAAAAATTTGCGCACTACGAAAAATAGTTCTCAACGAAGGCTGGTGTGAAGGACACAAACGTGAAAACAGATATAAGTGATAGTTTTCATAACTGAAAATGAATAAACAAAATATGAAGGGAATGGAAGCACAAAATGAAAACGAAAACTAAGGAGTGAAACCGAACCAGATCTCTGAAACCCATAGCCCCAGCTTTTCGATACATATGGCCAGGGCTCCTATAGTAGCATGAAGAAGACAGAAATACACTGACTGCCTTTGGTAGACTTTTGTTTACTTTGTAAATGACTCTGAATGATGGATGGATGAGTCAGCTAGAATGCTGTGACCGAGTGTGTTGATGAGGTATTCAATCATGGAGCTTTTGATTGAACAAGTACCTCCTCCTGTTTGCAGCCATGTTGGGTGATGCTCTCTAACACATTTCCAGTGGACCTATATACCTAGCTACGTGGGAGCAAGTGAATTGATAGATGTTCATTGGAGAGTGGTTATATGCGGGAGTTTGTCTCTAACACTGCTTAGAAGCAGTGGGACGGGGCTAGAAGATATCATTCCTAATGTTGCTGCAGGAAAGATCTTCTTTAGGGACCTATATGTGTATATGTATATAAGTGCGATTGTTCAGCTGATTTTGAGGATGAAATTACCAAAAAATGTCTTCGTCGAGATTCTTGTTCCCTTTTCAAAATGGATACCCGACATGTTTCGTGGGGAACATAAATTAAAATCGCATGCGAAACATTCGTAGATTTGGCACGCAATTCGCTCCCGCCAAATGCAAGATGATGTTACAGGATTGAACTACACCGACTCCTAGATTAAAAATAGGAAGTGAAGTGGTAGAGCACATTGACCGCTTCAGTTATTTCGGAAGTATCATCAGCCCCAACGGGTTGATCTCTGACGAAATCTCAGCATGGATACAGAGGGCTAGTTTCGCATATGCCAGTTTACGCCGTCTCTGGCGTAGACGTGATATCCGACTATCGACCAAAGGGCGTGTGTACTGGTCAACAGTCCGCCCCGTCCTCCTTTATAGCTGTGAGACCTGGCCATTGAGAGTTGAAGACATGAAAAGGCTGGCTAGCTCTCTTTGATCATAGGTGTCTGCGTTCTATCTCCCGTGTGAAATGGTATAATAATGTGAGTAATTTTGAGGTTAGGCATCGGTGGAGTGCTAGGTAAGGAGGGGAAATCAATCGACGAGTCTGTGAAATTACATCGACTGAGATGGTTAGGACATGTGTTACGTATGCCTAGTCATCGCCTTCCTCGACGGGCAATCTTAGCTGATGTAATAGAGAAGATTTGTAGCTCAGGTGGATGATTTTGGTGTGGTAGTGTTCTCTGAGCTGGATGGTTTGGTTGCGAAGCTTTCATTGCTCTACTCAGCAACATCTTCAGCGCATACTTCGATGTGAAGTGAGCTTTTAGAATTCTCTATGAGTTTATTAGTCATCTCTTCTAGTAACCCTGAACGTGATTGGTTGTTTTCGTATGACATTTCATCTCCTAGTTTGCTTGTCTCGGTAATGGCGGCTTCTTTGGTCTGAATGTCGTTAGTCATTCCTTCTGTTAACCTTGAACGTGATTGGTTGTTTTTGTATGACTTCTCACTTTCTAGTTCACTTGTTTTGGTGTTGACTGTTTCCTTGACCTGAAGTTTGACTTTGTTTTTGTGTGAATTTCTTCGTATGGGTTGGTATATTTTGTCAATCTCTATGTGTCTATTGATTGCTGATTCATTTGAATACCAGGGCTCTAGGAATTCTCTGGCATTTTTGCAGTCCCCTTTGTTTAAGATTTGAACATTGTCCCAGTCGAATTGGTGCCCGTGGTTGTCTGCATGTAGTGATATGAGGGAGTGTATGTCGTGTCTGTAGGTCGTGTCGGGAGATAGAACGCAGACACCTATGATCAAAGAGAGCTAGCCAGCCTTTTCATGTCTTCAACTCTCAATGGCCAGGTCTCACAGCCATAAAGGAGGACGGGGCGGACTGTTGAGCAGTACACACGCCCTTTGGTCGATAGTCGGATATCACGTCTACGCCAGAGACGGCGTAAACTGGCATATGCGAAACTAGCCCTCTGTATCCATGCTGAGATTTCGTCAGAGATCAACCCGTTGGGGCTGATGATACTTCCGAAATAACTGAAGCGGTCAATGTGCTCTACCACTTCACTTCCTATTTTTAATCTAGGAGTCGGTGTAGTTCAATCCTGTAACATCATCTTGCATTTGGCGGGAGCGAATTGCGTGCCAAATCTACGAATGTTTCGCATGCGATTTTAATTTATGTTCCCCACGAAACATGTCGGGTATCCATTTTGAAAAGGGAACAAGAATCTCGACGAAGACATTTTTTGGTAATTTCATCCTCAAAATCAGCTGAACAATCGCACTTATATACATATACACATATAGGTCCCTAAAGAAGATCTTTCCTGCAGCAACATTAGGAATGATATCTTCTAGCCCCGTCCCACTGCTTCTAAGCAGTGTTAGAGACAAACTCCCGCATATAACCACTCTCCAATGAACATCTATCAATTCACCTGCTCCCACGTAGCTAGGTATATAGGTCCACTGGAAATGTGTTAGAGAGCATCACCCAACATGGCTGCAAACAGGAGGAGGTACTTGTTCAATCAAAAGCTCCATGATTGAATACCTCATCAACACACTCGGTCACAGCATTCTAGCTGACTCATCCATCCATCATTCAGAGTCATTTACAAAGTAAACAAAAGTCTACCAAAGGCAGTCAGTGTATTTCTGTCTTCTTCATGCTACTATAGGAGCCCTGGCCATATGTATCGAAAAGCTGGGGCTATGGGTTTCAGAGATCTGGTTCGGTTTCACTCCTTAGTTTTCGTTTTTGTTTTGTGTTTCAATTCCCTTCATATTTTGGTTATTCATTTTATATAAATATATATTTTATTCCCAGTCTTCGTTAAGAACTATTTTTCGTAGTACGCAAATATTTTCTAATCCTGTGTAATTTTGTTTCTAATTCTCTTGTACTTTATATTCAGTCCTTCAGACTTTCATATCAATTTGAAAATTCAAGTTTTGGTTTGCAGGGATTTCGTTGGTTACATAGCTTCATCATGAGGTGATGTCGGTTAGAGAACCATTGGAAAACCCTCGGGGAGTATTGGACAGTCATCTGCTTCGTCAACCTAGTTTGGGACTATTCAGCAGTATGTACCAACCTCCAGGGTTCGAAGTTGGGATCTCCGGGTTACAAGGTGAACTAGCTCATAGACCACTGGGACCCGATCTAATAAACAGTCCATGAATTGCAGCTTCTGCCAATTCAGAATACAGAGGGACTACTAGTGAATATCATTGGTGGTGAATATCTGTCCTCACAACCGATCTGCTGTACTCCACTTGTCCCGAATTCCCTACTAAAAGTTGAAAATTATTGCCACCTTTAATCTCCTCCTTCGTTATTATGTATCTGAGTAGACTTATGTGTATATGATGGAGAAGATTTGTAGCTCACGTGGATGATTTTGATGTAATTTTGTTCTCTGAGCTAGCTGGATGGTTAATTTGCGAAGCTTTCATTATTGTCCTACTAGGCAACATCCTCAGTGCATACTTCAATTCTTTGAAATGAGCTTTCAAATTTTTCCACGAGTTTATTAGTTATCTCTCCTACTGGGTGACCTTGGACGTGATTGGTTGTTTTTGGGTGTTTCCACAACTTTTAGGCTAATTTTTATATTGGTGCTAATTGTTTCCTTGACTTGAAGTTTGACACCTTTGTGTATGAGATTTCCTTCTTATTGGTTGGTAAATTTTGTCTATGTCGATGTTTCTATTGATTGATGATTCATGGGAATATCAGGCAGCTTTTTAAAAATTCTCAAACATTCTTGGTGTTTATTGCAGCGAAAAAAATACATTGGCCAAAGTGGACATCCCCTTCATCTTCATATCCATAATCATAAACCAGCCGTCAAAAGACATGACATTCACTCCCTCACTATCGCTGCATACAGACAACCACGGACATCAATTGGACTGGGACAACGTTCAAATATTATAAAGAGGAAACACCAAGAACGCCAGAGGATGTCAGAAGCCTGGAATTATGAGTCGTCAATCGATAGACACGTTAACTCAGAGAAGATCTAAATAAGAAGGAAATCTCACACACAAAAGGTCAAACTTCAAATCAAGGAAACAATCAGTTCCAGTACAAGTAGCCTAGAGGGTGTGAAAACACACAAAATCAACCATTCATGTTCAAGGTGACCAGGAGAGATGACTTATAAACTCGTGGAGAAATCGAAAAGCTCACTTCAATTCAAATTGAAGTATGCACTGAAGATGTTGCCTAGTAGGACAATAATGAAAGCTTCGCAAATAAACCATCCAGGTAGCTCAGAGAACACAACTACATCAAAAAAACTTAACTGTGTATAAATGCGATCGTGGAGCTGTGCTTTTGAGAAAGAAATCGCCGAAAATACACCTGTTTGCTGAACTTCTTGTTCTTATCTATTCCATAAATAAAAGATGCGAAAAAAAATAAAATAAAATTCACATTAGAAATCAAAGGCAAGGTCAAATACTTTCTTTTTGACATGTGAATGTATGTATGCATACACATATTTTCGAATTTTTTTTTCGAAAGATTGTCTGGAAATGACTATTTCCATTGAATTTTGAATCATCTATCAATGTTCAATATTCAACAGTAATCATATATGCATGTATATATGTATTTTTCTGTTGTTTTAATTTGTCGCGTATGATTCAAATCTTTCACGTGACTGTTCAGCTCTACTTTTTTTATCAATATTTTGATTATCAATCGATTGCTGCTCCATATCCTGTTGTGATGTTTGCAATTGTTGATTAGCCATGTAAGACAATAGATTGATTTCATTCACTTCTCGATTACATAACAGCAATGGTGCATCTACATAACCAACTGAATATTCATAGTAGATAGTCCCCTCAGTCGGTGTAATCTTTGAACCACCAATAAAATCGAAATCATACAGTTTTTGATTACAATGTATTATTGTCTCATTATAATGTGCTGGATCAGTAAATAGAACTAAGGTATGCGATGGCAGTTGAGGTACTTTCAAATGAATCAACTGACGTAACATATTCCCTGTATAACCGAGATGAATTAATTGTTCAAATGATGTTGGCATATCCAGTGGGTCGTATGTCGGTGCTTTAAATGTCATTACAATCCATTTTTCTGTATCTTCTAAATCCATTGTATTCACTTCATCTTCATCGGTGTAATATTTAGCCAATGCACGACAAAATGCTTCATACAATGTACTATATTCAACTAGACCAGTATTTTCTGGATCTAACCATTTATAGATAATATGTACTTGTGTATTATTGAACGGTACACGTAAATCTTTTAGCGCTAATTTAAATTCAACTTTTGTTATGAAATCACGACCATAGATAGATAGATAACGCATATATCGACGAGAATTTTTATGATACCAATGTTCAAATAAGGCAAAAAAGTCGTTATACGCTGAATTATCTGATTTCAGTTGGTTTGCATGGATATCTAAATATTTATCGTCAGTTTTTGTTAATTTTTCTATTTTTTTCAAATATATTTCTGAGGGTTTAACAACTTTTTTAATTGTTTTGGTGGCTAAAAATAAATGGAAACAATAAAATTATATATTTTATTATGATTATTATTACTATACTTTGCGTCGGTGGCACAGCGGTTAGGACGCTCGCCGACCATGCACATGGTCCGGGGTTCGATCCCCGGCCGACGCACTCCTTTACCTCACTAAGCCGGTAGTAAAGCTGGTAAAGAGTAAAGGTTGGGCATGAGGCTAGCAACCCCATCCTGTAAAATAAACACTGCTCCTGAAACTTCAAGCCTCTAGCTTGAAGCCCAATGTTCCACTGGGAACGTGAAGGAATAAAAAAATTATTACTATACTAATATATTTTAACCTTGCTAGTTTTCTAGCCGGTCAAAAGCCCAGGTAATGAGGGAGGGTTGGACGTAGGACTAGCAGCCTTTACTTCGTTCACTTTTCTAGGAAGCATCGTTTCAACTACAAGCAGTCGGTATGGATGAAGACGTCAAAGCCAGCCAGCCAGAATCGGAAAGGCAAGATACGTCTTCATCAACGAACCTGAATCCAGTTTGGAAATATTATGCACTCCATTTTCAACACAAATGTGAAGTCAGTCCTTCTATACTAGTCAGAAACTTGCACTACGTGTAACGAAAAGGATTTCCAGCAGCCAGCTGCGGGTTTCTATCAACAGCTGCCATACCTAGCTCCGTACTGAAAGTCAAATGGCCTGTCGGCTAGAAAGAATTAGTAACAAGAAACTCTTGCTGGCAACAAACCAACCAAGGACCTAGTGCTCAGCAAATATGTCAGAGAAATTGGAGATGAGTCAGACATACGTTCAAGAGGTCATCAAATGACATCGCGCTCAACGCAGGCCATCTCTCGAGTGGAATCCCAACGGGGACCGACGAGTGGGTTGTCCTAGGGTGATATGCAAGAGATCGTGAGTCTCAGAAGATGAGAGATTTGGGTCAATCGTCTACCAATCTAAAGATGTCGGCAGAAAACACAAGAAAGTGGAGGTGTGTTGTTGCAGCCCTATGTTCCACTGAGAACCCAAGGGCATAATAATATTATAATAATTATGCTATATCTTACGTCAGTCTCCTATCCCTTATTTGTGACCTTGACCTATGCAGAATTTGACCTCTACTGTAATAATTCATGCTACCTTGCCTTCTATAGAAATATGTATGACAAGTACTCGTGTGTGTGTGTGTGTGTGTGATCAGAACGTTCGAAATGTGTTAT